CTATCACTGAACCACCGATGCTTATAAGAAAAGGTCATATTTAGGTATTTATAAAATAAAAGGATTTAAAAGCGCGAATGTTTCTTTTATACATAAAACGAACTTCTACTGTCCTTACTGCGATTAAAAAATATATTGGGAGGGCTTGGCTCATCAGTGGTGAACCCTCCCAGCGGTTTCGCCAATTTAATCCACCAGACCGCTTCTCAGAGCTCTAATACTGTATTGGATCATTCTGCTTTTATATGCTACACTGAAGGATGGAATCCTAGAAATGGTTTTCAAGCAAACTATGGACATAAGCTTATAGGACAGTAGAATTACATTCAAATATTTGCTTCGAGCAATGCTCTTCAGCAAACTATAAAGACAAGGCCAACTAGGAATAAATTAACACAAAGCAATAATTCCAAAACCTCACAGAACGAATTTAGAATTAGTGAAGAGTTATCGACCTATTTCATTAATTTCTAACTTATCAAAAATATTTTAAAAAATTTTGAATTTTTTTTTTTGCTTATCCCTAGTACACGTGGTACAGGCCATGATAATCATGTTGGGTAGTTAGCGACTGCTTTTTACTGTAAGCGCACCACATGTCTACACATGTGAAAGCAGTTCGACTTTGCACTTACAAATGTGCCAGAGCCCCGTTTGGTTACTTGCACTCGCTGTTGGGGTTGGACTTTTGCAAGAATCGGGGGGCCATAAAATATACGAATACTATGAAAAAAATGATCTCCTTAGCCCCAGACAACATGGTTTCTTGAAGAATAAGTCAACAACAACCTGTTTGAAAGATATCACAAAGATCATAATGGAACATAGACAGAAACAACTAGTTACGCTGATTGCAATTGATATACAAGGAGCGTTTGATAATACATGGTGGCCAGCCTTGTTTAAAAAATTAGACGAAGACAATTTACCAGTTGAATTGATCAAAATTTTACGTTCTTTTTTGAAAAATAGAAAAACGATTTTCAAGTATAATAATCTGAAAGTTTCAAAGATATTAACGAAGGGCTGTCCTCAGGGTGGACCATTGTCTCCGTTGTTATGGCTGATATATTTAAATGATCTGCTAACTAATTTGCAATCACCAAACTCTGAAATCATTTGCTATGCTGATGATGTAAATATTATATGTTGGAATAATGGGTTAGCAAATCTAAAAAAGTCGATTGAGTTTAATTTGGAAAAGATAGATCAATGGTGTAATGATAATAAGCTGAATATCAATCTTGATAAAACTAGTATTTTACACTTGCACAATAAAGACAAAATTTCAATTAATTTTAGAGACAATATTATTATGCCCGTAGAAGAAATTAAAATTCTTGGAATTACGATTGCGAATCATAGATGGAAAAACAAATTGAATTTTGGCCCTCACCTTAACATTATACTAAACAAAACCCAAAGATTGAAAAACCTTCTTTTTTCAATATGTGGAAAATCTTGGGGTCTTAGCACCCAAAAAAGGCTTACACTTTATAAATCTATAATAAGACCAACGTTAACTTACGGAACAGAAATATGGTTTCAATTTATTAGCAAAAAATATAAGTACAAACTGAACTCAATGCAATATCAAATTCTGCTATGGTGTACCCAAACATATAAAACAACCAGTTATAACTGTGTTCACACCTTAGCCAATATTCCTTTGATCACTGATTATAAGGAATCTAGAATTATAGGTTATATATGAGTTGAATAATTTATCAACAGAAGATAAACAATTTTATGATTTGTATATTCCAGGTATACTCAAAGATTTCTTATATCAAGGATTAATTTACTGAAAAAGAATACTAATCAAACATTTCAAAGTTTCTTTCCTTATGCAATTCCGAAATATTTTCGACCAAACTATTATAATTCACAATTTATAACGAACCATGGAAATTTTAAGGGATTTTTATCAAAAAATGGCGCGAGTGAAGACTCTAGCTGTCATTGTGGCAACGAATTCCAGGACTCGAGACACCTACTGCTGGAATGTCCACTCTTCTTCACCGCTAGACAACAGACAATAAATAATATTGTAGATCTATATCAATTTGTAAATAGCAGAGAGAATTATCATAAGTTTAATTATTTTTTGTAAATATATTCATGATTTTCTTTCAAACCTGAAAGGTTCAGGTTCCTAATATATATATATATATATTTTTTTTTTTCTCTTTTTATTTCGATTACTTTTTTTTTGTAAAAATTTTATAACTGTTTCTGTTTAAAAAATGTAAATCGACGCAATTATCCCTAGCCGGGATATCGCGTTTGTGTGTTGAATTAAATAAATAAATAATTAAATAAATAAATAATGCGCCATCTATACATATAAAATAAAAGGATTTAAAAGCGCGAATGTTTCTTTTATACATAAAACGAACTTCTACTGTCCTTACTGCGATTAAAAAATATATTGGGAGGGCTTGGCTCATCAGTGGTGAACCCTCCCAGCGGTTTCGCCAATTTAATCCACCAGACCGCTTCTCAGAGCTCTAATACTGTATTGGATCATTCTGCTTTTATATGCTACACTGAAGGATGGAATCCTAGAAATGGTTTTCAAGCAAACTATGGACATAAACTTATAGGACAGTAGAATTACATTCAAATAATTGCTTCGAGCAATGCTCTTCAGCAAACTATAAAGACAAGGCCAACTAGGAATAAATTAACACAAAGGAATAACGCGCCATCTATACATATAAAATAAAAGGATTTGAATTTAATTCTACTGTCCTATAAGCTTATGTCCATAGTTTACTTGAAAACCATTTCTAAGATTATATCCTTCAGTGTAGCATATAAAAGCAGAATGATCCAATACAGTATTAGAGCTCTGAGAAGCGGTCTGGTGGATTAAATTGGCGAAACCGCTGGGAGGGTTCACCACTGATGAGCCAAGCCCTCCCAATATATTTTTTAATCGCAGTAAGGACAGTAGAAGTTCGTTTTATGTATAAAAGAAACATTCGCGCTTTTAAATCCTTTTATTTTATATGTATAGATGGCGCATTATTGCTTTGTGTTAATTTGGGTATTTATTCCATTCAAAAAAGCAAACGATGACAGAATTGATTGATGACTTTGATACTTGTGTAGCGACTACAATTTGTTTCAGCGAGCCGAGCTAAGACGGCCTCGGCATCAACACTTCACTACGCATGCGCGTGGGACGTCATCAGAGACGCTGGACTTAGCGGTAAACATCTAGAGCCATACTGCCAACGGTCTCAGCAGTGGACCAACCAAGCACAGGTCATAGCGCGGAAGCCCACCAACAGCTGATGACGCAAATCCAAGACCTGCATACGCAAGTCGAAGCTTTGAAGTCATCCATGGACACCCCACACATTATATCTGGACAACATTTGAAAAGGACAGGTGCCTCCCTCAAGCCCCCAAGACCAGATCCCAACCCAACAAGGCACCCTACCAAGAGTTCCCTCTACGACTACATAGGATCTTTAAAGATCCTACTGGAGGGGGAGTAGTGTAGCGACTACACTTTGTTTCAGCGAGCCGAGCTAAGACGGCCTCGGCATCAACACTTCACTACGCATGCGCGTGGACGTCATCAGAGACGCTGGACTTAGCGGTAAACATGTAGGGCTATCTCCGGCGGCCGTTATTTCAACCGTTGCTTCTTTTCTATTTCTATATTTCTGGCTTTAAATAAATTAATTTTAATTATAATTTTATCAGCAGCCTTTCCACAAGCCACACCAACATCACGCAACAACCACTACACTTGTATATTTTAACTAGCCGAATGACCCGGGCAACACCCGGGTTTTACCCGATTAAATGCTTTTATTCAAATACTATTCGTTACAATTATAAATTGGCGCCGTGGATGTCATTCTTGTGAAACGTCCCGCTCCAAACTTTTTGTCTGAGAAGCCATATTTTTATAAAGAGATGATTTGGCTTTGTGTCTTCTGCTCAAATGAATGTTTTCTGTTAGAATTTTGTTCCTGCATACTAAAAATGAACTGGCTTCACCCGTGGTCTCTGCTTTTTGGAATTTTTCCGGATATAATTTTGTATCTGATAATCAAATATGATACAGCAATATTGTCATAATCATTTTCTGACTAAAAAAAAAAACAACTATTTTTGCCCAGAACCTGTCAATTTCAATTTTTCTTGGCTAAAAATGCGACAAATATCTCTTCCATATTTTTTTCTATGTCCTGTTAAAACACGTTTTACATGTACATTAGGTCAGCTGATATTACCTCCCATCTTCACCGCTAGAGGCGCTGCTTGCGAGCGAAAGAGCAAATTTGCAACTCAAATTTGCAAATAACTCGAAGAATATTCGGGGTAGAGACCTGAAATATTCAATATAAGTTTTTCCAGATTCTACTATACATACTGCTAAAATTTCAGTCATATTAGTTACGTATTTTACGTATATTACGTAAAAGTATTCCATTCACAAAAGCAAACGATGACAGAATTGATGACTCTGATAATTGTATATTTTAATAATAATATAAATGAGTTTTGAAAATTGTAAAAAAAAAAAAGAATGCATCGGCCGGGAATCGAACCCGGGAGGCTCGCGTGGCAGGCGAGCATTGTACCACTGAACCACCGATGCTTATAAGAAATGGCCATATTTGGGTATTTATTCCATTCACAAAAGCAAACGGTGACAGAATTGATTGTTGATGACTCTGATAACTGTAAATATTAATTATTTGGTAAAATACACTTTATGGTCATTATCTATAGATTTTGATGACATACAGAAAAACTAAGTGCAGATACGGAATCAGCGCCATTTGATTACCAAAAAAGCATTTTAAATGCTCAAACATCAAAAACTTTTTAAAATTTTGTAGACCTGTGTAATCGATACTGAGAAAGAGTTGAAATAAAAAATTAGAAATTTATTATATTTTTTTTCAAAATTTAAATCACTGAAAGGATTCCAGAAAAATACAATATCAATTTTTTGTAACGTGTTTTATTTTGCATTTACCTATTTTTTACATATCTCTGATTGTATTTAAAATTGTCACCCAATTATTCTACTTTTGGCGAAATGATGTTTTATAAATTTATCATTTGATCCATTTCAAAAAGGAAAAATACGTGTCGATCAGTTATATTTTTCAATTTATCAAACAATTTAGCCGCTGAATATTTGATTCTGGTAGAGCGCCATCTAGTGAATAATATTGTAACTAAAAACAATGTTTCACATATTGCCATAAAAAATCCCATTGCATCCTGAACACAATGGTGTTTACCGCATTGCTCTAGCGCAAATATTTGCGGAGTTATTAATTTTCAAAATTGTGCAAGACTTTTGGATCACCCTGTCCTTTCAAGATTTCAGCCACAACTGCATTACCAATACCATTGACCTAATACTAATGTATTTCAAAATATATCAAATCTCAAGATCATAATCTCAATCTCAAAATTAATTCCAAAATCAACAGAAAATCTTATATATATATATATATAAATAATATATATATATATACATGCATTGACATATATATATATATAGATGGTGTTACAACAGATACGATAGTTGCTTGTAATACCTAGTGTCTTTACCTAAATCCTGATGTATGCAAAGCATATTCAGTACAAATAGAGGCGATGGTGTTATATAAATTGGGTAATATATGATGGTCATTCAACAATGTGTTGTCAGAAATTAATAAATTAATTATAAACAACACTTTTCTCCTCCCATTAAAATATATTAAGTTTACCCAATTATTTGAAAATGTATTACATAAATTTATTCCACTAATATTGACTCTCCTATCTCCATATTTCTCCTTCCCCTAATTCCAACCGTTATGTAAATTCTGGAATTAAAACCGAAAACTTTCCAGAGAAACCTTCTAGCATACAAATTCCTAAAAGCTTTATTAAATATGAAAAATCTGAGAAGTTCGAATAAATTGCTTTTTTATATTTAATGAAGCTCTTATTTGCACAAGTCTTTCCGCTGAAGTCTCATGGGTTTTTTAATATTTAAATAGTTTGTTTCACTAACTTTCTGAAAATGTTTGTGTGGATTTATTCTTGCTTTTAATTCCTTGTTCAATGGTACTAACTCTTTTAGAATTACTGTCTATGAACATGATTTTGAATTCAAAAATGTTGATTTATTTATACCATATGAATATGCAGTTAGAAATTTTAGAACTTATATAAATTATATATATTGTATAAATAATGTAAATTATGAATAAATGTTTTAATTCTGAACTACAAGTAATTATTTTTAACTCCGCCTTTGCCGGTCTCAAACCCGGATGAAAAAGGAGGAGGGGGAGCAGTAACAAGCTCACTAAAAACCTGGGTTCAGCTGGCCCGGCTGATAGTACCCTGTAAGGGCTCCTAATCCAGAGATACAGAATGAGCAGCGTTTATACTCCATGTTAGGAGCGCTGTACATGGCGTCTGTTCCTCATGTCAGAGGCGGCCATTTCTTTTGGAGCTAAGTTGGCGTGCCACTGAGTAGTGCTCCAAGTCTTAATGACAATGGCAGACGCATTCTACTTCACCCAGTCATGATGGTTGTCAAACAGACACCATCAAGGGTTACAACTTGATACCCTAATATGATTGAGAGGAGATAAGAAAGAAAAGGAAAAAAGGTAATTATTTATAAGGCGATAACGTTCCATCTATATATGAGAAATGGAAGCACCAAAACACGAATTTTTCTTTTTAAATATAAAACAAACTTCTACTGTCCTTATTGCATTGAAAAATACTGATGAGCCAAGCCCTCCCAATATTTTTTTATCGCAGTAAGGACATTAGAAGCTTGTTTTATGTTTAAAAAGAAATATTCGTGTTTTGGTGCTTCCATTTCTTATACATGTAATTATCCTCAGCAACCGAATTTGAAAAAAACAACAGACATTGATTCTAACTGATTTGTATAGTTCTTAAATATTGGAATTGTGATTCGGAACAATTAGAACATTGATTTGATTCTCAAAACATATCATTCATCATAAACAATGGGTGTTGATTTTGAACCATACGAATTGTTTCTGAGCCACAGGTATTGTTCAAGAACAAAAAAAAAATTATTTTAAGCAAAAAATAAAATAATCTGAAAGATAGGGAAATATTGTAAAAAAAAAAAAATAATATATATATATATATATATGTCATAATATATGCTCTTCCAGGATTAATAAAACAAATCTACAGTCGACCAGAGAGAGAGAGAACGCAGCTAAGGCCAGTCACTTGATATAGCAGTCACATTCCAAGGGGGCGACCGCAGGGCCTTTTCTTGGAACCTCAGTTCTATGTTTACTCAGTCGGGGGGGTGGTGGCCACACAAGACGTGCATTTCCGCGGTGTCAGCCGCTAGAGCTCCCTCTCTCCCTCGGTTTGCTGGGTTCCATCTTCCAAACTTGTTGTTTCCTTATTTCTCACTCACCACATTATTATCACTATAGTGCCACATCGAAAGTCGACAGGATCATATCTCAGAAGAGTCGACAGGATAAGACCTGGCCGGGAAGCAAATCCCTCATATACCGGAGTATGAAGAAACAAGAAGCCAAGCCACGATGATCGGCCAAACCCAACTCAACTGTAACCACTCCTCTTCGAGCCCTCAACCCCTTCTTCGCCAACCTCTGAACCGTGATCCCGAAGAAGTATTCACCTACGACGGAGATGGAGCTGCCACACACTTCTTCCAACACTAGATCTACCCAAGAACGACCACCGTGCCAGAGCAGGACACCTTCCTTCATCATGGACAAGACTCCGCCATATCCCTGCCGCTACTGTGATGTACAACACTGGTACGCTCAGTGTCACAGACAGAACTCTCCCGAATCTCAATGAACTTACCTGCTCTCTAAACCAGCATAACCTGTAAGTGAAATTGTTTTACCCCTTCCATTCATTCTTTAAATAAGTCATTCCTTGTAAATTGTCCCAATTTTTACATAATTAGCTCCATTTATTCTCTCCATGCCTATTAACAATGATTTATGCTCCATACTATTTATCTAGATATTTGTAACTCATTTAATTATTTACCTTACCAGTAGAATTTAACAATCGTTATTTTAATTAAATAATTTCCATTTTTAACGTAACTCTTTAAAAAAAATTGGAATTCTACCTATTAATGCTTTAGGATTTTTACTATTAACAATAGATTTTTCATAATCAATATATTTATAAAAATATGCCTCCAGCACCTAAACTTTTGTATGTCTATTTGTATAGACCTCTCCTACTTGTAAGCACGGCTCACGAAAAATAATTTCTTTCCCTAATCGATTCAAAATTCACCCTGTAATTCAGGCGTCGAAGAATTCCAACCACCACGTGAGCCTTGCTTACAACCAACCCTTGGTGACTCTTATCCATCTTCCCCTTAATGCCCCTCTCATTCTTACAACTTTGTTAACTTTATACCAGCTCAGGACCTTTATAGAGAATTATTGATTAATCAATTATCGAACTTCTATATTGTCATTTCAAAATCCTAACCTTCGCCCTTCATTTATGATAATTTATTTCGTAGTTCATCTCTAGCCTATTCACCGACCCACACCATCTAGCCAATGGTGTGTTCGTCACAGGGTGCAGATTGACTAACTGCTAGATATTTATCAACCCCTTTTTGTTCGCACTTGAACAATCTGCATCGAGCGACACAGTTCGCTTCTTCTTCTCGCGCCACACGTTCGCCACACGGACCCTGTCTTCAAATCTATGTTTGTCCATTGTCCAAACCAGCACGATATAGCCTACCTCCGATATTTCCCACGAAGGTACGTTAAACATCGTCGCTGATTTTGTCCGGTCCGTCATCATTTCGCGCAGACATGGGTCTTACTTTCAACCCACCGCGAAATCATCGCCTTGCACAAGCTCCCACGACGGTTCAAACGCCTCGTGTCCGAGCAGCTTGTCACTTGTAAAGGACAACGCAGTCCTCGTCCCAATTTTTGGCACTGTGCGCGCATACTTTCCGCAAATTAAATATAAGTCCGTTCGACTTCCTCACCTACACACGGGACTTTTCCCCTCGGACTCGCTACACAAGTAACTGCATAGATAAGTTAGATTGGCCCAAAGCAAGTTTCCCCTCGCTCTGTTCGCCGAAATTCTAACATTGTATGTAGTTCCATATTTATCTCAGTCCTGAGCTCACACAATTGCCAACCTCAACCTCATTTCTCATACTCTACACCTATAGCATAGAAAGCCCATGCCAAGTTTCCCCTTGCCATGTCCGCCTTAAAAATATCTTAAAGTGTAGAGTTCCCCAGTCTTAATGACCTTCAGAATTTCATCATGTGTTTGTGACTCCCCTTCACCTTGTTCACACTCCTCATGTCATTTACCTTATAGTACATTAGATTTTGTTGTATATAGCCTTTTATAACCTTGATATTTTCAAAGATTTCCTTAAATGTCAAACTCTCCGGTGTTATAAAATTGCTTGTAAATAATATTTACTTGTGTACTATTCAATATTTTATTTACATAAAACTATGTCACCATTACCTTAATTAATTTCAACTGTAAAATTATTTTCTCTATCCCTGGCTTCACCAGCTTTAAGTATACTCAAACCAT